AGGAGGAGGAGGAAGGAGGAGGAGGAGGAGGAGGAGGAGGTGGTGGAGGATGGAGGAGGCGGAGGAGGAGGAGGAGGAGGAGGTGGAGGAGGGGGCAGAGGTGGAGCAGGAGGAGAAGGAGGAGAAGGAGGAGGGGAGGAGGTGGAGAAGGCGGAGGAGGAGGAGGCGGATGATGAGGATGATGATGATGATGGTGATGATGATGATGATGATGATGATGATGATGATGATGATGATGCTGATGATCATGCTGATGAGGATGATGATGATGCTGATGATGGTGATGATGATGATGATGATGATGATGATGATGATGATGATGATGATGATGATGATGATGATGATGATGATGATGATGATGCGATGGCGATGGCGATGATGATGATGCTGATGATGATGATGACGACGATGATGATGCTAATGCTGATGATGCTGATGCTGATGCTGATGCTGATGATGATGATGATTATGTTCATGATGATGATGATGATGATGATGATGCTGATGATGATGATGATGATGATGATGATGATGATGATGATGATGATGATGATGATGATGATTATTCAAATTAGTATTGTTATTGTTATTATCGCTAGTAGTGTCATTATTATTATGATGCTGATGCTGATGCTGATGCTGATGCTGATGCTGATGATTAGGAGGAGGAGGAGGAGGGAGGAGGGAGGAGGAGGAGGAGGAGGAGGAGGACGATGGAGGCGGAGGAGGAGGAGGAGGAGGAGGAGGAGGAGGAGGAGGAGGAGGAGGAGGAGGAGGAGGGTCGGGCCTGCAGGGAGTGTGCTGTCTGCTCGCTGCGCGCCCTTGTACCCTCCCAGGAAGCAGGTGCTGGAGGTGGCGCTGGCCCTCGTGCGGCTGACGGGCTGGTCGGCCGCCATCCGGGAGGACGAGGCCCCCTTTGCGATCCTACCTCTCAGTCGGGCATGTCCCTCTTCAGGAGGAATATTCAAAATAGTGGAACAATAGCCTGGGGATGATTTTTCGACTATTGTTTGGCCATTTTTGAGTATTCAATCGCTTCGCTCATTCCGCCGGCCCATATTGCCTCACCGCTGTCGGTTGTCGCGGTGTTGTGGTCAATGCGGTGCGGTTGGGCAGCTACCATAGGGAGCTCCACCAAAGCTCCCAGTGAGACCGCCTGCATGCGTCTCACACACCCAATTTGGCATTTTCACTCACCCAGTACAATGCTTCGCGGCCCCATATGGAGCTCCATCGAAGCCTCTAGTGGGATCGTCCGCATGCGTCCCGAAAGCCCAATTTGGCATTTTCACCCACCCAGTACAATGCTTCACGGCCCCATATGGAGCTCCACCGAAGCCTCTAGTGGGACCGTCCGCATGCGTCCCGAAAGCCCAATTCGGCATTTTCACTCACCCAGTACAGCGTTTCGCGGCCCCATAGGGAGGAGCTCCACCGAAACCCCCAGTGGGACCGCCCGCATGCGTCCCACATACCCAATTTGGCGTTTTCACCCACCCAGTACAGCGTTTCGTGGCCCCCTAGGGCTCCACCGACGGCCTCAGTGCTACCGCCCGCATGCGTTCCCCCCCACCCAGTGCAGCGCTTTGTGGCCCCATAGGGAGCTTCACCGAAAAAGGTATTCACAATTGCGGTACCCACAACTTTTACGTCGGCGGCCAGGCAGAGTACCTGCGCTGGCGGAGGGCTGCCCGAACGGGGGCACCGTTGTAGCGAAGCGGAGATTCCAAACACGCACAGCATCGACCGCGGGCGCGCCCAGGCCTTGGCCGCCGTGATGCCCCCCGAGGTCCTGGCGGCCCTCCCCGCGGCGACCGCCAGCCTCTCGCCGGCGCGGGCCTCCGGGGGCCGCCGCCGCCGTGGTCGTCGCCGCCGTCGTCGTCGCCAGCGTCGCCGCCGCCGCTGTCGTGAGCGTCGTCGCCGCGGCCGCCATCAGCGACGTCCTCGTCGTCAGCATCGTCAGCGTCGTCGTCGGTGTCGTCGTCGTCGTCGTCATTTTCGGCGTTGTCGTAGTCGGTGTCGGGTGATACGGAGGGATGGAGTTGAGGAGGAGGAGGAGGAGAAATGAGACACAGGAGGAAGGATGCGGGAGAAAGGAGGAAGGAGTAGGAGGAGGTGGAGGAGGAGAAATGAGACACAGGAGGAAGGATGCGGGAGAAAGGAGGAAGGAGGATGAGGAGGAGGAGGAAGGAGGAGGAGGAGGAGCAGGAGGAGGAGGAGGAGGAGGAGGAGGAGGAGAGGAGGAGGAGGAGGAGGAGGACGAGGAGGACGAGGAGGACGAGGTGGAGATTGGAAAATGAGGAAGAACGAGGAAGAATGAGGATTCGCATGGATGAGGAGGTATGACGAGGAAACTGGGGAGGAGGAGGAGGAGGAGGAGGAGGAGGGGGAAAGGAGAGAGACTGGGAGGAAACCAAGGAGGGGGAGCAGGAGGCCGAGGAGGAGGAGGAGGAGGAGGAGGAGGGCCAGGTTGGAACAGTTTTTTTCGCGATGCGAATCTGGACAACAACGACGCCGTACCCGGACTGCGAGGGCCTTGCTCGCTTCGAAGGCGAATGGCTGATTCGCTGAATACCTTTTTCTCTGTGTGGGCTTCAAGGGCACATGTTGCGGCTGTATTCATGGGGGCTGGGTTGCCCATTCACATACAAAACGGATCGCACATCCAACCATGTATATTGCACTGTTAAGTCATGCCGTGGGACTCGTGGGCCCAGCTCCCTCTTGTTTAAGTTTTCATGACCTCCCAGCACCTGGTACGCACGGTGGAGGCGTTCGTTGAGGAATGTGCCCAGCAGGCTGCAGACCCTGCAGGGTTCCTGAATCGGACGAGGGCGGCGGTGATATCCTGGGCCGATCCGCGAGGGGCCTTCCACTGGCGTCCAGGCCCCGGCTTCCTCATCGGAGGCTTCCTTGGCCAAGGCCACCACCGCAGCACAGCCGGCAGAGCCGAGAGGCAGCAGCGGGGGGTCGCGCGCGCAGGCGGTGGGGCGCCTCCTGGGGGGCCGACCGTCGGCGCGCGAGGCACGGAATCTCTGCTCGAGCCTCGAGGGCGGGAGCCACGGCGGGCCCCCCACGGGGAGCAGCGAGCACGCACACTCACGAAGCGTCGACTACTGAGGGCTTGGGGGAGGGGGAGGAGGAGGAGGAGGAGGAGGAGGAGGAGGAGGAGGAGGAGGAGGAGGAGGAGGAGGAGGAGGAGGAGGAGGAGGAGGGGGAGAGGAGGAGGAGGAGGAGGAGGAGGAGGAGGAGGAGGAGGAGGAGCAGGAGACGCTGTTTGGGCCGTTTGGGGGGCCTTCTTGGTGTTGTCTTGGACTTTCATGCGGTTTGGCGGGATCGTGGAGCCGTCTTGGAGGGGTCCTAGTCCTGTTCGGAGCCATCTTGGGGCAGTCTTGGAGGCCGGCTGGGGACTTGTTTGGTCCATTTTGAGGCCAGCTGGAGTCTCTTAGGCCGTTTGGGAGGTCCCCCGAGGGCCTCGTGGACCCTCTCTGAGCAATGCTGGAACTACCTTGGGGCCATCCGATGGCTTCTTGGGGTCATCCCAGAGTCAACTCTGGCGAACCAGTCTTGCGTCCCAGGAGCAATATACTAGGACCACTCTTCGGGTGATACGGCAGTTGGAGAGGTAATGGGTGCAGCTCTCGATTTGCGATTGGTGCCAGATCGGATGCACAATCAATTCATCTAACGATATCGCTACCCACCCATCGGTACCAATGTCGACGGATCGATGCCACTACCGATCGATCTCACGAGTCATCGATACCACTGTCAATAGTTCTATTGGTCAGGTTACTGAACGGTTTTACTACAAATTAACAAAGGTCTCTCTATACATTTATCGGATTCACCATCGATCTGTCTAGGCATCGACAAACGATTTCGGGACAACGGGACATACACGGCACAACCACAGAACAATTGAACAACCACAGGACAACCACGGGACAGCAACGAGGCAACCATAGGGCAATCGCGGAGCAACCACGGGACAACCACGAAACAACCATTGGGGTGACCGTGACGGCACCCATCGGGACAACCATCGGGACACTCATTGGGACAACAATCCGGACAACAACGGGACAAGTATGGGGCAACCATTTGGACAACTACATGACAACCACGGAACAACATCGGAACAACCGCGGGATGACCATGGAACATGCACGCGGCAATCACGGGAACAACCACGTGATAACCACAGGACAGCAACGTAACCACGTCGGGACAACCGCGGGACGGCCACGGGGGAACCGCGGGGCAACCATAAGACAACCACAGGACAAACGAGAAGCAAATGCGAAACAACTACGGGGCAATTTCGGGACAACCACGGGACGTTTACGGGACAACCACCAAACGAACACGTAACAACCACAGGCGAACAAAGAGGCAACCACAGGACAACCGCGGAGCAACCATGGGGCAACCACAGAACGACAACGGAAGATCCATCGGGATGGCCGTCATGCTATCCATCGGGACAACCAGCCAGTCAACCATCAGGGCGACATTCGGGATAACCATCGGGACAACCGTCGAGCAAACACTACATCAGGACAACCGCCAGGACAACAGTCAGGGCAACTATCGGGACAATCATCTGGACATCCATATGCACCACCATCGGGACATCTATCGGGACAGCCATTGGGCTGATTGTCGGGACGATCATCGGGACATTGATCGGATCAGCTATCGGGACAACCATCGGGACAACCATCGGGATTGCCAGCAGGACAACCATCAGGACAACCATCGGGGCAGTCAGCAGAACAATGGGACAACCGCCGTACAAGCTCGGGACAATCGAGCGCTCGCCCCAGCGGGCGGTGAAGAAATTCATATTGGTGACGATGAGCAGCACTACGATCATGACATCGACCACGCGGTCGAGTAGGATGTCGTAGACTCGGGGTCCTTTTTGGGCAACAGCAGTAAGACGTTGATCAGCATGATGTTGGGATGCAGCACTGATCTGACACCCATCGCCTGGGCAACGGTAATAGTGGAAACATGATCGGGGGCCACGGCCTTGTCACAAGGGAAGGCAGACGGCATATGGTGATCAGCTGCACTAATCTCACGTCCACCACGTGGGCGAGTCGGATATCGAGAACTTCATCTCTGAGCAGCACGTCGGGCTCCGACGCGCGACGTGGATTAGCATGATGATAGGCAGAGGCACGAGTCTACCATCCACCAGTTGGACGAGGTGGTGGAACAGGACTCGGGCTCTGTGCAGCACGTTGGGCACTTGCGGCACGACGATTGTGCGCAGCTGCACGGAGCCCACATCCATGACGTTGGCGAGGCGGAGGTCGAGCACTCCAGCTCTACGCAGCACGTCGGATACCGGCAGCAAGGCCTTGCGGAGCACGATGGGGAGTATCAGCACGAAAGCCTCAGTTGAGACAAGGCGGAGGTCGAACACTCCTACGCTGAGGACTGGTAGCACGCCGTTGAGCAGCAGGACGGCGAGCAGCTGCAATAATCTGACATCCATCATTTGGTCGAGGCGGAGGTCGAATGCCATAGTTCTGAGCATTACTGCGGATACCATCAGCACGACGTTGATCAGCATGATGGTGAACAGGCATCCTTTTCTCTCTCCTCGTGCCTTTCTAGTGCCATGTTGCATGCGACACGTTTCGTTGTTCTTAATATGCGTGCTGATCTGGCCTACCCATGGCCGCGGTCAGCCGACCCCCAGGCCTCACCGCCGTGGACTTGGCCTTCTGCCGCCCAAGGGGCTCAGGGCTCACAGGGGCGTTGCGGTGCCCACTTTGGGCAGGGCATCCGCAACTGCCGTGGTTGCCGTGGGTTCTGCCCGTGCCCCATCTCTTCTTGTCTGCACGTGCACTGCCGGCAATGAGTGTGCTTCCTGCCCGCTTCTCGTCTTTGCTCCTCGAGCTGCGTTTCTCCTCCTGCATTTCTCTGGTTCTACCCGTGAGGGGCACTTCTGCGAACGTTGCCAGCGAAGCCTGGCAGGTGTACGCGCGCGCGGGCTCTCCCTCTCCTCCTCCCTCCCTTCCTTCTTCTTATTATTCTTAATTTTTCGTCCGCCTCACCCTACCATCATCTGAGGCCATGCCGCATTTCTTCGGATTTTGCGGTCGCCAGCGTTTCGTTGCGCCTTGACGCGCAGAAGTTCAGTGTGCGGTTGGCGTATCACTGTGCGTAAGGCGCGCGACACTCGCCACTCGTTTGCGGAGCATGTCACGTCAGTGGCACGTTGGTCGGGCCCATAGCCGTCACACTGATACTGCGCGCAGCTTTTTGCCGGAGGTCGAAAAAATGGACATACATCGCTCATCAGCGCCGGTAGCATTATGATATGTATAGCTATAGAGTATGGGGCGAGTGGTTAAGCGCATAGAAGTGCTCGGCCCTTGTGATGCTCCAGTGCTCGCGATCGACGCTTTCGTGGAGTCCGGCCCTCTGTCATAGTGCGAATATTCAGCGAGGGGCAACCAAGGCACTTGACGTCGAGCACTTGCCCAACGTGGTGTCGGCGCCTCCAGCGGTAGATGCTGCTGCTGCAGGTGCCTGTCCACACGCGCTGCAGCGAGGAGGTCTGGATCGCCCGCGGCCTCCCGGCCACGACCTCTGCCAGGGCCCGCCCCGATTTCTGATCGCAATGCCCGCCGGCCGCCAGAAGCGGAAGTCGCCCATTCATGTGGGCGTTGGTGGGAGTTTCGGCCGAGCTCCACCGTCTTTGGGATGCCAGCATCGGTGTGTTGGAGGAGCGTGCCAATCTCGGCCAGGCTGTGGGCCCTGGCGGGGCCAGCAGCCTCGCCGTCACCTTGTTGACCCCGTGCAGCCGACAGAGAAGTGAGAATGGGACGCTTCGTGCTTCCTTGGCATGGGGCGAGGTCGATCGTGGCCTGTTCTCTAGCTCCCAGGCGCTCGGTGGGTGCTCTCGGTTGCGCGACCCCGCCGCCTCTCCAGATATTGCTACAGTGGGGGCCCATGCCAGGAAACACCCTGCTTGCCTCCAGGGTGCCCTGGATTTCTCTGGTTTTGATGGTTCTGCTGTGGACAGCGCGACGTTCCCACGCCCAAAACCCATGGACGTCCTGGTGTCTCAGGGTTGGGTTCAGGAGGGGAAACACACAGACACAATTGATCGTCGATTCCCCAGAAAATATTGGAAAATATGGGAAGGTGTGGGGGGGGACGAAAACGCACAAAATATCGTAAAAGATGTGGAATCCTGTTATTTGTGTCTATTTATTTGCGTGTCCCAGGGCCCCATTCATGGGTTTCTTGTGGAAGGTTTCCTGTGGCCGGGCCCCTACTATATGTCGGCACTTGAGCGCCCCACGGCATCCGGCCAATGGCGGTCGCGCCGAGGCCAAGACTGCCTCGCCTCCTGCGGGGCAGGCGCGGGCGCGCTCCCCTCGCAGGCGGACGTGCTCCTGGCCATCAGGCAGGCGAAGGCTCCTCAGGGTAACAATCCTTTCGGGGGGGGGCATCGTGCCAACACGAAGTCGGGCCTGTCCCCCTGCAGGAAGGAAATTAAAAAAAGGTGAACATAGTATCGGACGTTTTTTTCGATTATGTTTGGACCATGGTTGAATATGTTTGGCTACCTTTTATCTTTCGTCCAAGATCCGCCTATAGGGGGACATGCCTGACCTAAGAGTAACAATCCTATCGGGGGGTGGCACCGTGCAAACAGCTTCTTTTTCCGCTCCCTTCATCGCTGGCACCCCGCGATTGAGAGGCGATGGGTTCGAACAGGGTGTCGACAGCGTTCTGACCTGTCGATTCCATGCTTTTTCAAGAGACGACAACATGGGATCAGTCCAGACCTCGGGTGTCCAGATGTCTGAAATACGTCCGGATCTGGCGCTCTCGACCCATCATTCGCACGCCGTGGCTAATTCTTTGTGGGTTCCAGGGCACTCAGCGGGCCTCAGGAAGCCCAGACTTAGAAACGTTGGCCGCCTGGATGTTATAGGACACGAGAGTTCTGGGGTGAGAGAAGCGGAAAGAGGATTCTACAGCCCCGAGGCCCGCCATTCCTGCTTCGCGATGTTCCCGCCCGAGCGAGAGGATCCACGGGAACTACTCGCCAGAGGCTGCAGGCAAATCGAGGACCTCTTCCTCCTGGAGGAGGAGGAGGAAGAGGAGGAGGAGGACGATGAGGAAGAGGGCGGGAGGGAGGAATGTGTTTCGAGGTTTCAGAGTGCTCTCAGGGTTCTTGGGGGTCCTCCTGCTCATTCGCCCTCTTCTTCACTCCCTTTTTCTCCTTCTCTTCATCTTCCTCCTGCTCAAGGTGGAGCCGCTCTTGCCCAGCACAGTTTTCCCTCAAGCCAAGGTGGTTCACCTTCTTCTTGGATGTTCAACAGCCAGCGAGGGTCTCAAGGCGGCGCTCCTTCGTTCGAGGCGGGAATCATGGAATCGCATCGTGCAAACCAGTGGTGGGCAGCTCTTCGAGTGCTTCACGAAGGAGTCTAATCACGCGTGAAGCTCATTCCAAATCACTACGTTGCAGCTATCAGCGCTTGCAGAAAATGCGGGCAATGGCAACGGGCGCTATCGCTGTTCGATGAGATGCGTGACTTCGAGGTGGAACCCAGTGCCATCTCTTCTACAATGCAGCGAACTCTGCGTGCCAGAAGGTCCTCTGTCTTGAAAGACTGGCCGGGCCCTCCGTGCCGCCCTGCGAGCCCCCGGGCCGCTCCGAGACGGCTCAGAGACGCCCACGAGGGCGCCCGCACAGAGCAAGAGGGACCCAACCAGGTCTTGTACCATCTCTATAGTGTTCCTTGTAGGTCTTGTACCATTTCTATAGAGTCCCCAGTAGGTCTTGTATCATCTCTATATTGTTCCCAGCAGGTCATGTACCATCTCTATGGAGTCCCCCGTAAGACCTGTCCCATCTCTTTAGTGCTCCCAGTAGGTCCTGTACCATCTCTATACAGTCCCCAGTGGGTCCTGCACCATCTTGATAGAGTCTTCAGTCAGTCCTGTTCCATCCCTATAGAGTTCCCAGTAGGGCCTTTTACAATCTCTGTAGTTCCCGGTAGGCCTGTACCATGTGTATAGATTCCCCAGGGTGTCCTGAACCATGTCTATATATTGCCCAGTCAGTTATGTACCACCCCTACAATGTTACCGTTAGGTCATGCACCATCTCTATAGAGGTCCCAGTAGGTCATGCACCATCTCCATAAAGTTTCCAGTAAGTTCTGTACCATCTCTATAGAGTGCCCAGCAGGTCCTGTTCAATCTCTATAGAGTTCCCAGTAGGTCCAGTACCATCTCTATCCCAGTAGGTCCAGAGCATGTCTTGTACCATCTTTATGGAGTTCCCAGTAGGTCGTGTACCATCTCTATAGAGGTCCCAGTAGGTCCTGCACCATTCCTATACAGTGCTCAGTTGGTCCCGTACCATCTCTATAGAGTTCCCATTCGGTCCTTTACCATCTCTAAGCAGTCCCCAGTTTGCTTTTGTACCACCTTTATGGAGTTCCCAGTGGTCCTGTACTATCTCTACAGCGTTCTCCGTAGGTCGTGTACCACCCCTATAGAGGTCCTAGTAGGTACTCTACAATCTCTGTAGATTTCCCAGTAGATCCTGTAGCATCTCCATAGCATTATGTCACTTAAAACTTGCTTTGTCGGCGCGCACATCGATGCTGTTCCAAGAACCCCACCAGGAAACCTTTTAGTATTCATTCATAAGAGCCTATGGTGGGACCGGCAGGTGAGTTGTTACGGTTGCGCCCCTCCCAAGTCCTGCAATTGGGGACAGTGTACCAGGGTCACGTTCTCGTCAGGCCAGGAGAGACTGTGTTGCTGTTTCCCTTAGGGCAGGGTACCAGGAACACGTGTTCGCCTTGTTGTTGTTGTTGTTGTTGTTGTTGTTGTTGAACATTATTACTTCTAAAGAAATATTATTGTTGAGACCCCTGGTGCGCGACCCCCCTCCAAAACCTAGGCCGCAGCCTCATTTCCTTCATTTTCTAGCGAAAGCTTCAGAAAAGTGGATTGTGTCCGGATCCGGTTGTTTTGTTGTAATCCGTTTTCCCTTGCAAAAAACACTATAAAATGAAAATTCTTGTTCTTACTTGATCAAATTGCAAGAATCCCTTGCAAAAAATAAGGTAAAGTGGACATTCGTGCGCGCAAGACGAAATCCTTCCAAAACCTTAGGTTTCGTAACGATTTTAACATAAAAACATCAAAAACCCAATGGTTTTTTAAGAAAAAATTGTCAAAATGTCCTTCCGCGCGCGCTGTCCGAATCCCACAAAACCAATGGTTTTTCAACATTTATGTTACATGAGCTCGCGCGAGCTACTTTTTCTTGTTCTAACATAATCAAATTTCAATAATCCCTTGCAAAAAATAAGGTAAAGTGGACATTCGCGCGCGCAAGACGAAATCCTTCCAGAACCTTAGGTTTCGTAACGATTTCAACATAAAAACATCAAAAACCCAATGGTTTTTCAAAAAAAAATGTCCAAATTTCATCCCGCGCGCGCTGTCCGACTCCCACAAAACCAATGGTTTTTCAACA